TAATTATGTAGGGCATTCTTTGAATCATTTCTTAAAATAGGGTTCATTTCTTAAATGAAGGAAAATAAATGTAAAACAAATCAAGATTTAGAATAGAATAAAATATTCATATTAATTCCACTTTTAATAATAAAAAAAACAATAATAAAATGCACATGGGGTGCATTTTCGATGAAAAAAGTGGTGATCGGAAGGCTATTGACAGACACTTTCTTAATCATTATTTGTTATATTGAGTCGCCTTGTGGTTGGTGGCAACCGTTTATTTTGCTCTTCACTGATACAATACTTTTGTCTATTAAGAAAATTTAACGGTTTATTTAAAATAATTATTTTTAGAATTTAAATTTATTTAATTCCATTTATAAGCTCTTATTTAAATGAAGAATGAATAGAATGGACAAAATAGATAATTCGTAAACAAACAAAAGTTTTCGTTATAATCGAGAGAATTAAACACTTAAAATGGCGATAGACAAATGGCGAACACCTTGGATTGATATCCCCATGACATCATTTGACCAAAAGAATGATCATAAAGTGAAAATGAAATTAGGCACGGAATAGGTGTGAATGGGATCGAAATTTTTATAAAAAATTGGAAAAGTACGTCATCTATCAGGGATTTTGTAATTGTTGTAGATGATGATTATACAAAATTATTATTGAAGAAGATGATGATTACACGAAAATGAATAATGAATGCTGTCATTATTAATTTGTAAGGTAGTGATATGATAACTAGTCGTCACATTTATGTATTTATATAAAAGAAATAAACATGTTTTAAATGAAATGTTTCCTTAAAAATTTTGCATTATTACCGCTAATGGCTATTAATATTGATATTATGATAGAAAATAGTTTCTTTTTAATGTTTTATGCGGATTTTTAAATAATGTAAGTATTAAACTAAAGCAAAGTGAGGTAAAACCGGGTAGCTTAGAATCGAAGTTCTGTTGGAGATGGTTTGTCCGACCAAGAAACCGTCATATTTAATCAAGATATTTATTGTGTTGTGTACAATAATATATCATTCCTAAAAAAGTATACATGTACTACTTTTTTTAAAAAAGGATTTTATGTTGGAACGAGTCAAACCACCTGGTCTAGTGAGGTGAGACCTGTATGGAATACATGTTAACTCTAAAGAAAAATTAAAAATAATAATATTTCAGGAAAAAAGTAGCAGACATTTTCATTTTATATAAGAATTTTAAAAAAATTAAGCACGTCATTTAGATGTTGTTGCTTATCCTCTTCATCTGACATAAAAGTTCCAGGAAGTCGCTGATCGCTGGAAAATCCGAGGATCTGATGTAAGATCCCCGTTAGAAAGTCCAAATCAAACCAGAATATGTTCCGGCGAAGCTGGTTAAACACAGCATTTTTTTTTTTTTTTTTTTTTTTTTTTTTTTTTTTTTTTTTTTTTTTGCAAGTAGGGAAGATCTTTCTGCTTCCCTCAAAAGAAAGCACTTAAGATGGCACTTGCAAATCTGGTCAAAGCAGTCTGGGTTCTTTGGTTGCATTTTATGTCCAGCAGGGTACTAGGGGATGAATTTAGATGTGATGTAGTTAAGGCTGCACTCAAGAGGGGGAGAGGAACAATTGTCCCGGGACTGTAGAGAGCCTAACCTAAATTTCATTAAAAAAAATATAGTGCAGCAATTTTAATTCATATAAATTGTTTTTTTTTTTTTAAATTGCAGCTAATTTCTTTACATCCAGATTAAAACTACAATTTTTGAGACAACAAAAATTTACAAAATATTAAAACAAAGCTTTTCGTGCTTTAAGGAAGAGGAACGCAAATGAAATCTTGGGGTTCGTAAAACCTGTGTCCAGCCTTCAATTTAGTTATCTTCTTCCTCCTCTGCACTGCAGCTTTCGAGTGCCCAGCATAGACTCACGTAAAGGGGCTGGAGGTATTGTATCCGGTCTTACCTCAAAAACAGAAGTTATCGAATAGAGCAACACTATTATAGGACTAAATCCTTATTGTTTATCCAGGTATGAATCTTTAGTAAATCTGCAAGGGGGTGAAAATCCCTGTTCACTGACTCTCACCAACCCGATAATTGCTAAAAATATATGAACTAAAAACAACACTTGTGCCTCTAATTCCCACGCCCAAATGTTTCCTTTGTGATACTATTAAGATCTGATCTATAAGTGAACATAAATCATTTTTTTCTAAGTAATCCTTTTTTGAAATAGCATTTTGAATTAAAAGTATATTGATTTAATAAATTTGGAGAGTTCACAACTGTCATTTCATATTTTTTGCATACGAAACGGACGTACGTATATTTTAAATACAACTTTTGCATTTCTCACTTTGTGCATGAAGCTGAAAGTTCTAAATCATTCAAATTATCTCTTAAACCGTCATTCATAATGGTATATTAATGTAATTTGCACCAAGAAAAAATTATAATTGTAAAACAGTTAATAAGATCAGACATTATTAATAAGATATTATTAATAAAAGACCGATTTAATTACCTTTATCTTAAAATGTAAGGTGGAACTACATTATTCTAATAATAATAACAATGAAACAATCCTCGTAAACTCTTAATTCAGAAATCAAACGAAATCAAAAATGTAATAATAACAGTACAGGTAATTTTAACCTTTAAATTAGGGAAACAAAAATATTTATAGGAAAACAATAACTTTATGACTTGTATCAATTTTATGTTGATGACAATCAAACCAATGAGAAAATAAATGAGGGAAAACTGGATCCTACCATGTGATTTTCCGGCCAATAAAAATGTATTGAAAACAATGGCGGACAGCGACACCATCATTAGCTTTTCATATATAGTAAGATAATAGACTGGACTAAAAATAATTTTTGTATCTGAAATGACTAATAAATAAGACTAGTTTAATAACAAAGAAACATTACAGAGTTGACATCGTAAGACAAACTTTTCTACACAGACGCCGTGCATTCATTAACAAAAACAACACGCTAACTGATATGTTCTTTGCTTGTAAAAAATAATTCAGAGTTAGTCCGCTAAAAACATAATTAATTTCAGTACTATTTAGGTAATCGTTTTCACCCCACTTTTGTAAAATTTTCCTCACACTTAAGTGCTCCTCACACTTATTGTATTGATATATTTTGCTTTGGCTATAGTGATACAATATTAGAAAGCACTCTTTTTTGCGAATATAGTGAGCTGAAGAATAGATTATATCTCTCATTTTCCGGATTTTTAAAAATTTTTTGTCCTTTTTCTCGGATTCTTTTCCCGGTTTTTTCGTTATTTTTATTTTTATTATTATTTTCCTCCCTTTCTTCCCCTTTTTTCATTGTTCTGAAATTTTTCCCTTGTTTTATCTACATTTTGAACTTATATATATATATATAATATTAGAAAGCACTCTTTTTTGTGGATATAATCGTACGAGCTGATGAAAGGATTATATCTTTTATTTTCCAGATTTTTTTAAAATTTTTGTCCTTTTTTTCGGATTGATTTTTTTTCCGGTTTCATGTTGTTTTTATTATTATTTTTCTTTTATTTTTTCTTCTTCTTTCATTGTTCTGTACTTGCTCCCTTGTTTTCTCTACGTTTTGAACTATATATATATATAGGGGGAGAGGAACAATTGTCCCGGGACTGTAGAGAGCCTAACCTAAATTTCATTAAAAAAAATATAGTGCAGCAATTTTAATTCATATAAATTGTTTTTTTTTTTTTAAATTGCAGCTAATTTCTTTACATCCAGATTAAAACTACAATTTTTGAGACAACAAAAATTTACAAAATATTAAAACAAAGCTTTTCGTGCTTTAAGGAAGAGGAACGCAAATGAAATCTTGGGGTTCGTAAAACCTGTGTCCAGCCTTCAATTTAGTTATCTTCTTCCTCCTCTGCACTGCAGCTTTCGAGTGCCCAGCATAGACTCACGTAAAGGGGCTGGAGGTATTGTATCCGGTCTTACCTCAAAAACAGAAGTTATCGAATAGAGCAACACTATTATAGGACTAAATCCTTATTGTTTATCCAGGTATGAATCTTTAGTAAATCTGCAAGGGGGTGAAAATCCCTGTTCACTGACTCNTATATATATATATATATATATATACAGCAAAATAAATAAATACAAAAAAAACGAAGAAAATTGCGAAAAACAATAAGTTTCATTTATTGCACATAAGCTGCAAGTAAACAGAACTCATAAAATAAGTTCAAAATGAAAATAAAACAAAGGAAAATTACAGACATATGAAAAACGGGGGAAAAAGAAAAATAATAATTAAAAAAAAATTACAATCAACTGATGAAAAAAAAATCTAAAAAAGAAAGGATAAAATTCTTGTAAAAAAAAATTTTATCCCTTTTTTTTAAAAATAATTTTTAAAAAAATTTTTTTTTTCCTTTTTGTTCGGATTTTTTTACCCAGTTGTTTGCTATTTTTTTTATCATTGTTTTTCTTTTTCCCCCTTTTTTCATATATCTGTAATTTTCCTTTGTTTTATCTTCATTTTGCTTTGTTTTATCTTCATTATTACACTATTTTTTTTAGTCTTTTCTCGCTATTTGTTTTTCTAAATTATTTTCTTTTTATTAATTTATATGATATTTTAAGGACAATTAAAGTTTGATTGATTTAACTTTTCATGAATTTTTAATTGAGCAAATAATTAAATGGATTTTCTCAATCACATTGCTATAATCGAAATTACAATATTTGTTTTTAGCTCCAAAATACGTTTTAATAATTTTTACTTCAAAAAAAAAATTAATTCCAAAAATTTAAAATAAATAAAAACATAGCTTAAAACATAAACGAAATGCATTGTTTATTACAAATGCGCGGTTATGTTTTTGACCTATATATTGAAATAAACAACTCTTTCATAACGATCATCACCATAACGACTCCTAAACTGTCAATAATCTTAGCATTCGACTATAATTAGAACGTCGAACAACTAATACAAATGATTAAAACGAGTAAAGAATTTGACTTACAAACTGCCACTTGTCGAAGACATAGTTGCGGCTGCTGGCATTCAAATATACAATTGTTGACAGCACTTTCTTTCTAAATAAGCAGTGTCCCTTGTTTTGGGATGATATGAAAAAAACCACATGGCATTTTTTAGTGCCGGCAACTGCTGCCTGTTGTCGTGAGGGGAAAACAACAAGCAGTAATTGTTACTCGTGCTGCCATCTGTTGGTGATTTGTAAGAACTTCATTTAAATATTGTTTTAAAAGTTTCTTTTTTTTTCCCACTAAAAATAAATCCTTAAACAATTGTATTAAAATTTAGTTTAGATCAAACTATTGTATACCATAGGATATTAAATATACATTTGGTATAGCAATAGTTTATAGATCTTCAAATAACCAATATTTTGATGTAAAAGTCTTGTAATTGCATGATCTGATTGCAGAAGAGAAAATTAAATAATACACACAATACATTAGAATAATATGATTGAATTTCTTAGTTATAAACGTTTACTTAGGTACTCAAAGCTGAATGCCTGAAAGGTCTTACATGCTTCTTTGAAGCGATTTAAGATGTACATTATAAATACTTTCCATACATTAATGTAATATAATATAATTTAATATACGTTATATAACAATAAATAAACATAACATACATATAATATTAATATTTAAAAGTCAAATAATGTCTCTCTCTCTCTCTCTCTCTCTCTCTCTCTCTCTCTCTCTCTCTCTCTCTCTCTCTCTCTCTCTCTCTCTCTCTCTCTCTCTCTCTCTCTCTCTCTCTCTCTCTCTCTCTCTCTCTCTCTCTCTCTCTCTCTCTCTCTCTCTCTCTCTCTCTCTCTCTCTCTCTCTCTCTCTCTCTCTCTCTCTCTCTCTCTCTCTCTCTCTCTCTCTCTCTCTCTCTCTCTCTCTCTCTCTCTCTCTCTCTCTCTCTCTCTCTCTCTCTCTCTCTCTCTCTCTCTCTCTCTCTCTCTCTCTCTCTCTCTCTCTCTCTCTCTCTCTCTCTCTCTCTCTCTCTCTCTCTCTCTCTCTCTCTCTCTCTCTCTCTCTCTCTCTCTCTCTCTCTCTCTCTCTCTCTCTCTCTCTCTCTCTCTCTCTCTCTCTCTCTCTCTCTCTCTCTCTCTCTCTCTCTCTCTCTCTCTCTCTCTCTCTCTCTCTCTCTCTCTCTCTCTCTCTCTCTCTCTCTCTCTCTCTCTCTCTCTCTCTCTCTCTCTCTCTCTCTCTCNATAATTATAAGTATAAGTAATTATACTTGTCAATCAATTTCTAACGCCGTATTTTATTGGTGAACAAAAAGTAATACAAATTACGATCCTGATAATAGAAACTTGAATATAACTAAATGAGTCAAACACGAGTATCATATTACAGATGATTTCAGTTTTATAAACAAATATTAGTGCCAAAATCGAATTTGAATATTTTCTATAGGTAAACAAAATTTGAAGTCCTCAATTAATTTAAAACACTAAAACTCAAATGATGTATATTGTTTTTATTTCTAACTAAAACGAATGCATTATTTCGAATTACATTTTCAATGTTTTAAAATAAAAATCCCTGTAATAAAACAATATGCAATATTTAAAACACATTTTTAATTTGCTACTTATATTGACAAAACTATCTCCTTTTAAAAAAATTACTTTAAGAAAAAATATGAAATATTAATATCGAAAAAATAAAATATTATCGAAAGGAAGAATTGGTCAAAAATAAACATTTAATTTATCGAAGAAATGCTTTACGTTACTTAAAATAATATATGCAATGATATGTTGAGTATTCATTTGAATCTTTAACTTTAAAAAAAAATATATTTTTTCACTCTAAAGGGTGCAACAATTTTATAGGAAGTGGTCGAGTGTTGTGATGAATGGATACGTGCTGTTTCGAGGAGCTAAGTTAAGCATCGAATTATTATTCGGCCGTTGAACTGTAAAACTTTTCGGAAAGTTTTTTTTTCTCTCTCTCTGTTTAATTATATGCAGTATTATATGTTTAAGAGTGCGGGTGGATATTCCCTAAGGACTTAATTGATTGTATATTTCATTTAGACTTTCAGTCTGACAAAATCATCCAAAAAAGACAAACCATAACTCGTCGCCATTTTTAGCTTCTGACATTTTATTATTTCTTTCTATTTAGCCAAGAAAAAAAGTATTTAGACAGTCAGCTTTTTATTTTGGACATAGTTTAAATGCGTGTTAAAAAAAAATAGATAAACCTCAAAATGAGTATTTAGGAAAACTGACGGAGGTCAAGAAGTATAATTTAAAACAATGGTCATTGTCAAAAATGCGGATTTAAGAAAGTAGGCATTACTCAAAATGTATATTTAAGAAAATGAACTGATTTAGAATGCGTGTTTTGGAAAATGGATATACACAATGTAAACCCTAACTTAATACTAACTTTAATAAATTTTTTGAATAAAGCTTAATTATAGAGAAAAGTCCCGAATATCTGGTGGATGGGTATATTACAAGTTTCAGGTGATCTTCCCGTATTCAGATTTCTAACAAAACTCTTAATTTACTGCCAAAATAAACTGATAAGAAACTTATAAGACCCGGATAAACCTTAAGAAAATTGACTTTAAAAGTCTTTTAAAAGGAGACTAGTTCACAAAAAAAGTGTACTAGGTGATTTTATGTAAACTGAGATTACATTACGACTTCATTTATATTTATTAATTAATTCTTTAAAAAAAGAATGATATTCATAAGAATAATTTTAAAAAATGGAATTACATGGTATAATTCTGAACAAATGCTTTGACCATTTTGTCAAAGGCTTATTTCCTTTAATACACCTTATGAGCCATGTTTATTTTTTTTTAAATACGCATTTTGAGCTGAGCTCATTTTTCTCAATATATATTCTGAGCTATGTATATTTTGATTGCACATTTTGAACTTGTTTAGTTTAAATTTTCCATGCTTAAAAATTATATGAACATTTGAAAAGTTTCGATTAAAAAGATCAATTATTTTGAAAGTTTAATAAGCCTTTTTATATTCATGGTATAAATTAATTTAAAATAAAAACTTTAAAAAATGAAGATAATGTGAAACAATATTTTTTATGACCAAACATGGAGCCTATTTTTGCACAGCATAAACTATGTCTACTGGTGTGTGAAACCATGCGTGTCATAAGTGATTAAAAGAGCACGAATTTCAAATATATTTTTATTATTACTGAATTTGAATATTCTAATCTATTGAAGCTTAGTTTGTGAAAATTTTTGAGAATTGTCTGAACATGAATATAATTTCAGATAAAATAATTCAATCTTTAACTTTGTGTGCGAATCGCTCATTTTGAAGCTTTTGTATTTACAAGTCAATACAATTTACAACAGAGGTGACTATATTTAGTCATTTTAAAATATATTTAAAAATAATTATAATATTGATCATAGTATGTTAACAGATGTGTTTCAAATTTTTTTCTTAAAGCAAAATTTGTATCGATGTATCTAATGCAGCCTATTAAATTTTAGAAATTTTCGCAACATTCAGAAAGTAAAGGGGCCAAAATGGATCATCTTCATCATGAGTGCGATAATCCTCTCTGATTCTCCTTGCCGTTCCTCTTGACAGTTGAATATCCTGATTGTCTCTTAAAATCCGGTAGTTGTATAACGTCAAAATTATTAACAACATTAAAATGAATTTTTTTATTATTATTATTACTTGTCAATCTGAAGTAAATTTTCTTAGATAAGTTATATTTTTCTCTTTTAATCACGCAGAATAAGGTTTGCTAATTGCACTAAATATTTTTTATGTCAATTTTTACAAAAAAAGAAAAAAAAGAGAGACATGGGAACAAAGAAAAAAAAATAGCATCCATATATTTATAAAGTTTAAAATATAAAGTCTGAAGATTCATTATTTCACTCATGAAAAAAATATGCATATATTTAAAGAAGAAAATTGTATTAATGTTAATAAAGATTTAAAATTAACAGTTGCTCAATATATTTTTTTTATTATTATTTAAGAAAAAAAGAAAAAGAAAGGCGGTACCAGAAATTTTTGTATCACTATTTTTCTAGCTGTAAAGCAATAAATTTATGTGATGAGTGGTTTTGAGTGAGTCATTTAATACTTGCCAATTTTCAGAGTTTTTAAAATTTAATTTCATGACAGTTTAAACTCATTTTAATGATGCTAAAGACTTCTTTTAACGGTCATAGCAAATTAACAAAACAAAGATGTTTATCAAAAAATTCTAAAAGCACAGCCTGCTGCATACGTCTGGAAAGACTTTCCACCCGATTTTGATAGGAATTGACTTCTATCGCAGATGAAGTGAGTGCGTTGCAGTGATTAGGGGCTGGCTGCCTCATCTGAGTCGTCTCAAAGGTGCTCAGTGGGATCGGGACTCTTGAGATGGCCAGTCCAGTTTTTGAACGGCCATTTCGTCCAACCACGTCTGTGCAAGCCTCGATGTCTGAATAGAACAGTTATCGTGCTGGAAGAGAAATATGTCTTCCCCGAAATATTGCCGCAGAGTTAAGAGTGCAGAGTTCATGTTGCCAAAAAGTTTGGACATTCTGCAGAGGAGCCCCGATTATACGCGAGTGCATTATCTGCGAGTTCAGCAAAGAAATCGAAAATTATAGTTCACGTGATCGATTACGAATGTATGAATATTTATGTTTGAAAAATTTTATGAAATAAGTATTGGAGTGCCACAATGAACAGCAAATACGACGTGAGTTCTAAAAATGTATTTCAAAACTTAATATACGCATTCTTAAAAGGGAAAAAAAGTTATTATTGTAAAAAATTCAGTAGAGAGAAAAAAAAACCCTCATAATCAAGTTATAAAGAGCTATAGCTCGAGACAATTTTTTGTAAAATCTGCCCTGAGCTATGTTTTGTTAAAATAGGCTCGGTACGTTTCAATATACACTATTTTTTTTCTTCTTTTTTCTTTACCATTCGTAGTTTCAGGGATTTATAATTCGAACAAAGATTTAAGTTGTATATTTTTAATATATGCACATATATGAATGCATTTTTTAATTCATTTTCGTGTTTCCACCTTACTTTATGAGAATTTTTAAATTTTTAACGATTTCTGTTATTCGCTGTGCTCTTGCCTCCCGAATCTGCGACTAATCGGGGCTCTACTATAGTGAACCATCCGTTAGAGTGGACTTATTCCTGGGTTCATAGACGGTTCGTTATAGCGAGATTGAACTGTCATTTAAAGGTTCCTTTCTTTAAAAAAATTCTGTTTTATAAATACTAATCCAAAATAAAAGAGTACTTACGAGCGAATATCCAGTTCATACGTTTAAACTCTTAAAATCGATGTAATTATACTCATAACAATGAAAACGGAGAAACAACTCTTAATAATGAAAAAAGAAGACTGACGGCAAATGATGTTATTCTTCATAACACTCATAATATTTGCGGTCTACAACACCATAATGCCCAGTGGAATAAAATATCAATTTCCTATCCATTTTTTATCGTACTTCATGTTTTGATTTCTTTTCGCAACCAGAGCGCGGAAGTGCGAAAATCCTCATCGTTTCCCTCCCCCCCTTTTCTTTTTATGAGTTTCGTTACAAACAAACGAAAGAGCTGAATGGGAATTTTACACTGAAAATAAATAAAAGAATATTATTGCACGTTTCGAAACTAAAAGATGGCCTTCCAGTATCCTTAAGGTTTCCAGAGGATTTTTCCTGACAAATTTTCGAATTTTTTTTTTCCTTGAAGAAAATACTTACGTTATGAACCGTTTTATTCTAAGCAATTTCACATCAAATATAAGAAAAACTTTCAAAGTTACGACAAAAATATCGAAACACACTCTCTGAAAAAAAAAAAAAAAAAAAAAANAAAAAAAAAAAAAAAAAAAAAAAAAAAAAAAAAAAAAAACACCGCATCTATTTTCCAAACTGGAATCATCTGTAAACTCAAGTATTTTGTTTAAAATCACTTATTCAAAGTTTTGTCCTTAAATCTAATTTTTTTCTTTTCGTTTTTTTCTCTTTTTTTTTCAATTCAAACTTCTTTCACCTTGAACCCAAGATGACTCAACTGCCAATAAACCTGAATATTGGTAATGGTCTCGCTCACTTGAATATTGGTAATTATTTTACTATATTTAATTATTTTGTTCAAAATAATTTCTTTAAAAACTCCACACAAATGAGCTTTTTTTTTCATTAAAAAAATTACTTTTTCAATTTCTTTGAGTTAACAGGCTTTAAAAAAGAGCATATTTGACTGATTATTAAAAGTAATTACAGGCCATTAACATGATTTTGACTTCTAGCATTCGCGCAAGACGTCATTTTTTTTTCTCTTTTTTTCAGATTTTTCCTCAA